TATATATACATATATATATATATATGTAAATACTTGTAGATGTACGTATGTTATGTATGTATGTATGTATGTATGTATGTATGTATGTATGTATGTATGTATGTGTGTATGTGTGTATGTGTGTGTGTATGTATGTATGTATGTATGTATGTATGTATGTATGTATGTATGTATGTATGTAAGTATGTATGTATGTATGTATGTATGTATGTATGTATGTATGTAGACAGCTAGCAAGCTAGCTACATAGATTGATAGACAGAGGGATTTAGGGATGTCGGGAATAAGGTTTAGAAGGGATGAGGCTGTAGGTTTAAGGTGTAAGGGTTTAGGGGCTCAGGGTTTAGGAGCCACATAAACTCGGAGTTTAGGATTCTAGGGGTCAGGGGTTCGGGGGTTTGGAGGTTTTCATCTTAAAGGTCTCAGTGCTTTGGGGTTTAGAGCTTCGAACTTTTCGGTGGGATATCCCTACCTTAGTGATGTACTGCCTGTGGGCTATCCCAACTCTTGGCTGATCTTGCAACGTGTGTTGGTTAGGGTTCAGGGTGTAGGGTTCAGAGTCACCATCAGGTGGGCAAACGCTGAGGTCCTCACATGGGTCCGGATTGTACCTGTCCTACTACATCTGGGATGGGATCGTCGTGCAGCATTTGTGGCAGAGTGTGGAAGGACAGGGTTTGTGTGAATTCGGATTGGTCATATGGTCGCAGGTGTCGTGCAGAAGTTCGTGCGAGCTCCGATTAGCATTGGCATGTTATTCACAGTCTTCCTGTATCTCCTGTACAGGCCAACCCGCCTGCACCTTCTGGGATCGTCGTGCCCCAACATGTGCGGGGGGTTGATGCTCCTGCTCGGAAAGTCGACCCGACTTTTGAAGTCCTGTGCCAACTGGTCTTCGGATTTGATCAAGATCTGACTCGTGAGGGGCGATGCCCCCTTCGAAATGTACTGCTCGCCCACTGAGGAGAGCCTAATGGGCCTAATGTAGGGCCTTAATAATTACCTATACTATTTTTTTTTTGGGGGGGAGGGGGTCCTTATTGTAATTATAGTATAACGGGCCTCAAAACCCTATTCTAATTAATTCAGGCCCCTACAGTATGTCTTATCTGTATCAACACCTGCTCTTCCAGTCTACATGAATCCTCAGAGGGGTGCCCTTCAAAGTGTAGTTCCTAAGGATCAGGTGTGTGCTTCTTGAGAGGCAGAGGTGTTTTGCCGGTACGAAGCCTAAAGCATTGGACCTCAAACTCAAGACATTGAACCCAGACCCTACACCCTAAACCCTGCATGCCAAACTGTGAACCCTCACGGCCCAAGATACTTACGGAATAAGACACAACAAAGCTTAACAGCTTAACGCCCTAATTCTCAAGGCCCCTCAAACCCTCAACGCACAAGAAAACACAAAACCCTAAAAGCCCTCTGAAGCCCTAAACCCTATGCCCTGTACTACCCCAAAGTAGACCCACCAGGCGTTGCCAACCAGCCCCTCAGTTCCCTGAACCCTAAACCCTAAACCCTAAACCCTAAACCCTAAACCCTGCGTCCAAGGCAGCACCTCCTCCGCCTTTTGACCCCAGCATGGCCCAAGCATACATGCAGATGGTCCAGTGCCCCGTGTCATGGGTTTTGGGGTTTTAGGGTTTTAGGGTTTAGGGTTTAGGGTTTAGGGTTTAGGGTTTAGGGTTTTAGGGTGTAGGGTTGCGGGGGTGGGCAAGGAGGGATTAGGAAGCAAGATTATTGAGAGTTTGGGCCGGGAGCTGAGAGTTCAGCGGCGGTTAAGGGCTTAGGCTTTGGAGTTTGGGGTTTGGCGAACCGGGCGCAGCAGTTCCGAACCCCAAACCGTGTCAAGCTGTTGCCCCATGAGCGATACCCTTGCTATCGGGGACTTATCGTGGGCCCTGATAAAGGACATGAGAGCAGCACAAGACGCTCGCAGACGTCCTGCACAAGCACCCCAAGTCTTCAATCGTAGTGCAACCACGCAACACAAACGAGTGCCGATAAACTCCGCTAGAGAAGCACCCCAAAGTCCTAAACCCTCAAGCCCCGACCACTGCAACAGAACTCTCTTGATGAAGCCTGGGAAGAACGTGCCGTAAACAGCATCAGTTGCAATATAGCATTCCAAGCAACCGACGATACAGATCTCAGAACAGTCGTAAGTTGCAGAACCAACAACAAAACCCACAACACCAACAATCAATAGCAAAGCACAACAACCAAAGGACACGACAACAACAATGATGGCAGCAAACAACACACAAAAGGCAAACAATACATGGCACAACGAAACAATCACACACACACACACACACACACACGCCCGCACACACACACACACGCACTACACCCTACAAGCCCTATAATCCCTCTAGACTCTAAACCCTATAAACCCTTTAAGACCTATAAACCCCTAAACCCTAAACCCTATAAACCCTAGAAGCCCTATAAACCCCTAAACCCTACCTATAAACCCTAGAAGCCCTAAACCCTTAAGCCCTATGAACCCTGAACCCTAGAAGCCCTATGAACCCCTAAACCCTAAACCCTATAAGCCCCTATAAAGCCCAGAAAAAGGGAGCTGGCTGCAGGTACCTCCACCAGGGACTCCAGAGCCAGGCCTGCGTTCTGGAGTACCATGCTTTAGTACTTTTTTGGGGACCTCTTCCTTCAAGGAACCATTATGAAATAACAGTCTATACTTTTTTCTCCCTGGTTAAAACCCTAAACCCTGAAACCCTGAAACCCTAAACCCTAAACCCTAAACCCTAAACCGTGAACCCTACTTCTCCCTGGTTACTTCAAAGCCAGGCAGCCAGCTTTCCTGGCTCCGGCTTCCCTGCGCCGCCGGGGAGCCTGGCCGTGCCTTTCTTTCTTTTTTGGAAGGGGGGGGTGTTTGGGGTTGTAGGGTTGCAGGGTTCAGGGTTTTAGGGTTGAGGGTTTTAGGGTTTCAGAGGTTTAGGGTTTCAGGGCTTCAGGGTTTTAGGGTTTAGGGTTTGGGGTTGTAGGGTGTAGGGTTGCAGGGTTGTAGGGTTGTAGGGTTGTAGGGTTTAGGGTTTAGGGTTTAGGGTTTTAGGGTTTCAGGGTTTTAGGGTTTAGGGTTGTAGGGTTGCAGGGTTTTGGGGTTTAGGGTTTAGGGTTTAGGGCTCTAGGGTTTAGGGTTTTAGGGTTTCAGGGTTTTAGGGTTTAGGGTTTAGGGCTTCTAGGGTTTTGGGTTTCAGGGTTTCAGGGCTTAGGGTTTCAGGGTTTCAGGGTTTAGGGTTTCAGGGTTTCAGGGTTTCAGGGTTTAGGGTTTTAGGGCTTAGGGTTTAGGGCTTCTAGGGTTTAGGGTTTAGGATTTCTTTGGGGTTTGAGGGGCTGACCCTTTAGGTGTGCCTTTGATCTTTACACGGTTTCTGGAGATGGTTGTACCGTGATTTTCTGGCCCTGAGAGGGCGCCGCTCAAAGCCCCGAAGCCTAAACGCATTCTCGAAGTGTCGGTTGTTGATTATGGAAACGGTTTCGGGTTGTTTAGGGCTGGGAGTTTGAAGGCGCACATCACATTCTGGGGCTGCGGATTGGGGGTTCAAGCGGTTATGCATTTAGGGTTTCGGGATGTGGGACTTCTTAAGCTTTGAACACTGGAATTCCGGAGATCATACACGACCCGTGGCGCCCCTATGTCGCTTTCGGGGTTCGGGAGTTTAGGGTTGAGGCTTTTCGAGATGATAGGCCGGAGCCCTTGAACCCTAATTAGTGTCACTTCAAAGCTTTAGGGTTTAGGGTTTGGTGTTAAGGGGTTAACCTGCAGGATACTTTTATCAATCACCAAAAGGCTTGGGTTTTTTAGGGCTTTGGGCGTCGAGTGCTTCACATGTTCTTTCTGCATGCTAAGATCGCTGACCATGACATACCGCTAACAGTACAAACCGCTGATACGCTTGCAGGGTACTAAGTCAAACAGGTGAGTGCTTGTGTAACTCAATGTTTAGTTGCGATTGCTGTTACGATCGTGTTGGTATGTCTTTTCGTCAGAAACTGAAGGTAGCAGTCCTGGTCCAAGAAGCAGTGCTCGACCCCGACATTCATCACCTGCCAGCAAGTATCAAGGCCTATGCCGTTTCCGCACCTCCCACCGAATCCGTCCGTGGCCTCAGACTTTCGTGTGCTGGGTATGGAGGTTACGCAGGCTGAAACCCCATCCCTGCTATGTCTCCATTCGTGGTCTGGCTGCCTATATATACCGGCAGCCTAGAAGATATTCGGCCCCGCCCCAAACAGGTACTGCATCCCAAACCCTAAACCCTAAACCCTAGCGGCTTATAGTTTTCGGTATCCGTGAAGAGATGAATGCAAGTGGTCTTGGGCTTGGGGGCTTGTGGCTTGCATTTCTGCACTTGGGAGGCGGAATCTCTTCCTAGCATCTCTGGGGAGGGGAAACCCGAAAACCCTGAAGTCGGAAGCCTAAACTCTAAACCCTAAACCCTACCTTGAACCACCATAACCTACTTTTTTTGCAGGTCCTTATTTTCAACCCTAATATAGAATTTATATGCACCCTACAAAAAATAGGTTTTGGTAGTTTAAGGTAAGCCTTGAGAGAGCATTAGCAGCTCCCGAGGTCTAAAACCCTAAGCCCCTAAGCCCTGAGCGCCTAAACCCTAAGCCCCTTAAGCCCCTTAAACCCCTAAACCCCTAAACCCAAAGCCCTTAAACCATAACGTAGAAGTCTAAATAAATACCAATATTACTGTTAGGGTTCCTCATTATATAGAGGAGCTCTGAGGAAGAGGTCGCTGCAAACACAGCCATACCGAAGCTGCAGCCGTTCTTCGATGCCGCTACAGGGTGCTTTATCAAGTTGCCTCCAGGAGGCGACAGCATTCGCGGCGAACTGAAGCCCGGTCCAGAAGGATTGTGTATGGTGCACTTCGATGGGGAGGAGCCGCTCCCGAGCCTAAACCCTAAACCCTAAACCCTAAGCCAGGTTCCCAACCTGTTCATTCCAGCCTGCA